CGCGCGCACACATGCACGCTGTTTTTGAACTGTAAAAGAGACAGCCACTCCGAACCAGATTGCTTGGCAACGAGGGTGCAACGAGTGCACAACGTATACGAAAGATTCAGTCGAATAGCAGCGGAGTAGGGTAGGAACACAAAACTATATTCGGTGTTCGTAGGGGAGACACAAGTCTTGCTTGGCGAAGAAGGTGAGACTTTCTTGCACTGGTTCCGACGTGGAAAAAATGCACGTCACATACTTCAAAAGCAGCGACGAGTTTTTTGGGCGTACGAAGCCGCTGCATCTCCCAGTAGATGCAGCCTACTTGCAAAGAATGTCACATGTCGCCTTTAGATGGAACCAGCAGGACAAAGGTGCGCACAAAATTGTAAGCGCAAGGTGTACTCGACTAGTATTTTGCCGCTACACAACGGCACATAGCCGGACTATTATGGTGGGCGGGGATCCGCTGCTGCGTCCCACAGTAGATGCAGTCTACCCGTGGCACATCATGTTGCATCATGTTAAAAGGAGTTACCCGCAGCGTTACTTATCCTGCATCCCGCTGTAGCCACGGTAGATGCAGTCTACCCGAAAGAATGTCGAAACAACTACTGCGAAGCACCGCGGACCCGGTGCAGTTGACACTCTGCGCAATAGCCATTCCGTGCGCTGCAAGACGGCCGGTGTTCACGGACTCGTTTAGTGGCGAGACCTATGCTCCCTCCTCTACTCAAAACGCACATGTATCTGGTGTAAAAAATGGAGCCGAAGCAAGTCCCCACTACGACATACAAAGGCGCTCCCACCCTTGTCCTCTACAGGTCTGCAGAACGAAGTGTGGAAAGTGAATGGGAGCGGGCGTTCGGTCGGCGAAAGGTGGGACACCTGCTGGAAGACTCTCAGAGCCCTTGGTCAGGATGTTCAAGGATAAGACGTCCCAAAATTGCAAGTCGCGCTACAAGACAAGATCGTTGACGACCAAAGCAAGAGCGATGGTAAAGCCCTGCGGGACTCCGGAGCCGGCACTGTTGAGAGTGGCTCGGAGGACGAAGTAGAGAAGACTACCAAGGTCCAGCTGGTGAGGGGTCTAGAGCCAGTAAGCTATCTCTACCTTTTGTGACGGGCGCAAGCCTGAGTGTACACGATCATGGCACAGTCTAAACAAGACGGGCACGAATATCTGCACATGGAGAATCCACAATCCATAGAGGATCGTGAAACACCTGCGCTGTCCCGACCGAAGAAAATGCCTGCCGTCCTCACCAACGTTACAGTTGCAGATAAGAGGGGTACGCACAGGGTTAGCCGTAAGTCCAACTTAAAATGCGCAGCATGACAAAAGAAAGACAGAAGTAGATAGACAGCACGAAAGCCCGAGTGCTACACGCCAGGCGACGCAAAACGTGCAGAGAGTTAGCTTGCTGAGACGGTCCTTCACCCACAAAATCAAAACAGCGTCGAGGTTTTCACTCCCACTCTGTATTGTTTAGGGGCGTGACGTAGCAGTGTTGGCACGGAAGTACAAAACAGACAATGCATATAGCTATCGCCGACGCTAGTGATGCAATTTGGAAGTCGTAGAGCTGACGAGCTGCCGCGCCGCTGTTGCTTGTTGTCCGCGATGTGCCGCACAGGACAAAGTTCTGACCGCGATAGTGGACACGAAGGCTGCCGCGAGGCAGGACTCGGAGGAGACCAAGCAGAAGAAAGCCGACCAGGCGGCCTCGCACTCCGCGATGGGG